TTTTAAGTTCTTTATAGATTCGAGATAGTAGACCTTTGTCTGAGGAAGAGCAGGTGAAGATTTTTTCCCACATTATGGGTTGTCTCTTCACACTGCTGGTGGTTTCTCTTGCTGCCTGCAGCTAAAATTTAATGAATACCATAATCACATATTTGTCAAGTCTTATGAAATGCCTAAATCAGTCAAACTATTAAGTCTGACGGCTGAGCCTAGAGCCTTAGACTACCAATTGTGAACTACAGGTGGACTTCTACAATGCAGAACATGTTTTCTGATCCTTCCACAGTGAATTGAAAGGGTATTATTAACAGCTTTGAGTTCTGTCTTTTCCAGTATCTGAAAAAAACATTTTCATTAACTAAAAAGAAAAACATTTATGAGCAGTCATGATAAATTCCCTATGATAAATAAATTGGCCTTTCTTTGGAAATAATAATCTCACTTCACTAGCGGTGGAACACAGAAATAACAATGACCTTCAGAACTAGCAATGAACACTTACAGAAATTTTAAAATATTACCTAGCCTTTCTTTTGGATTATTATTTTTAGAATTAGAATTCAGCCTTTCTTTTGGATTACAATATTTGGGTGAAAGATTTACTCATCATTCTATGTGCCTCTTACGTAAGAAGCATTATGGATACAGAAATAAGACACAGTTGAGGCCTTCAAGGAATGCAGGGAGAGAAGCACACAAAAAAAGACTATAACAAGACAAAAGCCTACTTGAGTAGAGCTGGGTTCTAGGAATTTGGTGTCATGAGAAAGTGGACAAGAGTATATCTACATGTCAGAAAATGTTTTCCAGACACGACATCAAGGGTAGACCTCAAAAAATATAAAGATTTTGTATTTTACATATTCCAGTTCTTCATTACTACAACAGCTTCACTTATCTTGCCCTTCCAGTCCTGGATGACGGGTTTATATGAGTTGGTAACAGGTCTGAGTAAACACATGACATGAGAGCTAATTCGTGGTACTGTACTCACCTGTTTGGATCTTACTCCTTTCTTCCTTTCTCCTGTTTGACTCCATCTACTACCACTCTACAGTTAAAGGGGAAGTCAAAGTATATTGTTTCCCCTCTGGGTCACTCATCCATGCTAGGATAACAAATTCCATTCCATGTAGGGTGGCCCAGGGAGGCTGGACCTAACTAGATTTAAAAACGGCAAGGTGATACAAAAGAAAATAAAACAAACAGAAATGTCTTCTAAAAAAATGGCAATGTGGTAGGTGATAAAGGTGTATATAGCTGGATTTATTTCTTCTAGGTATACTACCCTCTTCATTAAAACAACTGTGTGTGTGTTTGTGTGTGTCTTTTCAGTGTTGCTCTGAATGTGAGATGTTTCCTTCCCAAGACTTACTTGTGTGGTAAGAATTACTCTTAATAACTAAAATAAGATTACAAGCTGGTCATGTAGCTCAATAATACAGTATGTGTTGTAAATACATGAGGCTCTGGATTCAATCTGCTGTACCACAAACTAAACCAAACCAAACCAAAACCAAAAACAAACAAAAAACATACAGCACACTACTTCACCCAATGGGGTTTTGCCTATGCTTTGTTCAAATGATCAAATGACATAACATAAAAAAAAATTAAACTTCATAATGAAACGAAAAAAATCTCAAATGTACTTACCAAACTGCATGCCCCAATCCCCAAGGTAATTTATTCTTGTTACTTGATGTCCTAAAGCTTCTTTGAGATTTGCTATAAAATTTCCTAGTAATCAATAAAATATATTTTATTATTTTTGTTATTCATTTGGCTTAAGAATCATGTGCTTCTCTAGTACAAAAGCATAACACAGAAAGTTCACAAAATTTACCAACTCAATTTGTTTTGTTTTGTTTTTTTTTTTTTTTGGTACCAGGGATCGAACTTGGGTCCTTGTGCTTGCATAGCAGGCGGTGCACCAGGTACCAACTCAATTTTTAAAAAGTAAAACATTCATTGGTTTTTAATCTACCTTATAGATAGAATTTTTATCAATATGAGAGAACACATGCCATTTCTAGTCAATTTCAACAACAGAATCTTGGTAATCAATAAGAAATATATAATTTGGCTATACCCTATGATTCTGAGCCATCCTGTTATGTTTTTGTTTTTCTAAATAGTTTATTCAATCTTCTTTCAATCACTAAAGTCCATCAACCACAGGCCTATTCCCTAAAGCACACAGAAGTCCAAGGCTTTCACCTTCCTGTACTGCTGACATGAGTTTGATATTCAACTTCCACTGCACTCTCCTTTCTAATGAGCCCTCATTTTCAAAGAGGCTGGAAACCTGAAAAGTCTATTTCCCAGAGTCTCCTGTGTTCCAGAAGTCAGTCCTCTTAAAGCTGGGCAATCAGATACACTGCATGACATCTGGCCAGGATGCTACTTCTCTTTTTTCTGAGAAGCATATGTGAGGTTTTGGGCTGGGTTATGTATGAGTGTCTGTACACACACACAATCACGCAGGCACATGTGCAGGTACTACTAACAGAGGTCCTAGTGTCTTGTCATGACCTCCAAAGGAAATGAAAGGCTACAGGGTCACCTGTTTTGCCTGTGTGGATTCCAGAAGACATGACATACAGTAATGGCAGTTTTTGGATTGTGGCTGGGGCAGTACAATTTCAGAGGAGAGGAAGTGATGGCAGAAATGGCAAGAACTTCCTTGATGACCAAGTTCTATGGTATACTTTTTGAAGTCATTTCATCTAAACCTTCTTCAGTCCCCCACAGACTTTGTAAATCATTCAATATTCTGTAATAAATCTCTGCTTTAAGTAAGAGTAGATTTAGTTTTCTGCAAATAAACCCTGATGCACAGACCTGAATTAATTTACAGCTACATTTTTTTTTGCCAGCTTTTGTATTTCTAGAAATTCCAAATCAATATAATCTCAGCAACAGTAAATATTTTCAGCTGCTACTAAGACTATATGCCCAGTTTTCTTAGCACCTTGTTATCTCCTAAATCCAATTAAACTTCTGAGCCTTTTGGAACTAAGACTAATTTCACATCTTGGCCAGAATACCTACTATTCATGTGATCTTAGGAAAGATACTTTTGGTATCTCAGTTTCTTCATCTATACACCAAAGTTAATAGTACTTATCCATCAGGGCATCAGGGCTGTTGTGACATTAAATGAAGTAACACATGAGAACACTGTGCATAAGTAAGATCATAATAAATATTCTCTCTTCCTGGTCCAAACATTTTCCTTAACAACTATCGAAACAACTTTATTCTGCCCTTTCTACCATTTACTCACTCCTGTACTTTGACTTATTCATGTAACTCTTCCTATACAGTATATTTCATATATTCTTTTTCATCGTCTTATCATTTCCTCTTAAAATGCTCCTTAAGAACTTTCTGACAATGACACCTGACCTCATTACAATAATAATCTATTCTATAAGTACTCATTTTTCCAATTCTTATGAGTATTTGAGTATAACAAAGTTTAAGCATGAAATAATTTCTACATTGGAAGACAGATTAAATGAGCTAAAACTCCAAAGTCCTCTCCAACTCTAATATTATACAATTATAGTTTGGATTTTAAATTGGACTGCTGCAAAATACAATGTTTTAAATAAATGAAAATCTTAGGTATATTATACACAGAAGCATTACAGCTATGAAGTAGTTAAAGTGACCTCTCTTTATTAGAATAGCCTTGTTTTCATTTCCAGTCTTGAACATTACTATGATTGCTCACATTACTGATATTTTGTTAATGTAAAATTTATGAACAAGAATAACAAGAAAGCCAAACCAGAGAGCTGCCATTATTCCCACATGACTATTTTTATTTTTGCATCTATCAGTTCTTCTACATATGCATACATACTTTTAGAAAGTTAAAATCATAACATACCAGTTAAAACAGATTTGTGAATTAATATTTGGTTTTGAAATTTCATCTTTAAATTTCTAAAGCAATTTCTCCCATTTCATGTAATATTTAATTAGCATTAGGCTCATATCAATGTAAGCCTTGTATGTTTTTTTCTGTTCTTTTGTTATTTTAACATTAAACTATTACACTCTATTACCCTATACTACCCCAAAGGGATGTTTAAGTATTTTCTGTGAAGGCAAACACTTACCTATGATAGTAGAACGCAAATGTCCAACATGAAATTTTTTGGCAACATTAGGTGAACTGCAAGAAATTGCAAAGGTTTTTTTTGATTCTAAAAACAAGAGGTCTAAGAATTAACTAGGTCATGCCTCCATAGGTTCACGTAATTAGGAACTAAGTCCTTTGGCAATTTAGGGCAAAGATGAAAGAAATTTAGAGTAAGGATAAATTAGAATTCAGAAAAAAATAATTTTCATTAGATTGATCTGTGATTCATGAGATGGTATCATATACAGCACTGTCACATGAATGAAGCAGATATACTTAAGGACTGATTAAAAAGATGAAAAAATTCAGAGAGATTCTTTTGACAAAAACAACACAGATCACTGAGAATTAGTTTAGTGCACCTGTTCTCAAACTCTTTATCCTCTTATAGTGTACTGAGGAACTCAAAGATATTTTGCTGTTATGAGTTATATGTGCCAGTAAATACTATATCAGAAATTAAAACGGAAAAATGTAAAAATATTTATGCATAAAACATCCTAGAATAACCAGACCTCTGATTTACCACTTCAAATTCTCAATCATTAGATTTATCAGCCCTGTATGTGCTCAAGAAGGTATAATCAGGGGCTGGGGATTTAGCTCAGTGGTGCCGCCACCTGCCTTGCAAGTGCAAGGTCCTGAGTTCAATCCCCAGTTCCAAAAAAAAAAGAAGGTATAATCAATCATTTAACTGTATCAAATACTTCTAAAGCACTTACATGCATGAGTTCACTTAATACACATAAGAATTCTGTTTTTTATATGCTTGAAAACTTTGTTTTCAATATTTAAAAATACAAATCAACTTGAACATAGCTAAGTAAAATTGGTAAACGAAAGCTTAAATTTTGGTTTGTCTCTATTGTCTTGTTATATATAATTTTTAAGAGTACTACAACTTTTAAAAAATGATCCCAAGGGTATATAAACATAATTGTGGCATTATGAAACTACATAGATGTTCATTATTTACAAATGAAGTACATGTCCTTGTATACACTTAAAAAAATAAGGAATCTCCCATTTCTTACAAAAAGAGAATAACAAAGATTTGTATTTATCCTTCTACCTTTAAGCAATCAGAAAACTGAAAAAATATATGAAACATTGATTTTATGAAACTGGACAACAGGGAGTAAAGGACTATAACCTCTGACAGAATAACATCAAACAAGCTGAGTCCTTGGAGTATACTACGTTATTGCCTTCCTACTAAAATTGTGGGATACAGCCAAGGCAGAAAACCCTACAGCATGAAATATTTATGTTAGAAAAAAAGGAGGGTTTCACATCAATAATCTCCTTTAAGAAACTAAAAAAAGTGAATAAACCAAATCCAAAGTAAGCATAATAAAAAGAATAGGAAAGGTCAACTTAGCAGAGAGAGGAAAGAGGCAACAGCAGTTAGTTTCAAGTCTTATGACAAGTTCATCATGATGGACAGCCACTTAACCTGGTACTTTATCACACTGCTCCTAGATTTGACAAATCTATATGACATGACAATCTATACTAACAGAGAGGCAGTGAAAAGTACACAGGCTTTAGAATGAGAGTTAGCTCTATGAACCTGGGCAATTTAATCTAATGTTATCATCATCTTAATTTAGGGGGGAAGGTTTTTTTTCTCCTTAAGCTCTTTTATTGGTACATTTTAGGTATACAATACATTTACATTTCCCATTGGGAACTTGTACCTTTACATGACTTATCTTGGTTCTTATTTTTTCCCCATTCCCATGCCCTCCCTTTACCCCCTCCACCCTTCCCTATTTGGGGGAAAGTTTCTTGAAGACAGTGATTATATCTTTTGTTTTTTTAGGGGAAAGTTCCCTGGTCTATTTGACTAGTCTGTTTTAAAAATTCTCTTATATCTCTCTCTTTCAAAAGAAATTCAAGAACAATGTTTTCTATCAATTTGACACTGTCCCTCACCTATTGTCTCTACTTTGAAATCACAATGGTAAGCACTGCAGCATCTGGAAAACTGTTAAAGAAGAAAGGAGCCTTTGCTGGATAAAAATTATCAGAGAGTAAAGCTAGCTGCTGATACAGACACTGCCTTCACTAACATTCAGATACTCATTTAAGCTCCAGCATTCCTTAACTGATTTAGAAAAAAGCACAGGCACAAAATTCCATAAACAAATTACCACACAAAAGCCTAAAGAATACACGTTACTTCTTTTGAGAGAGAGACAGAGAGAGAGAGAGAGAGAGGGAGAGAGAGAGGGAGAGAGAGGGAGAGACAGAGAGACAGAGAGAGAGAGAGAAAGAGAGAGAGAGAGAGAGAGACTATATATGTGTGTAGTACTAGGGACTGAACCCAATGTCTCATACATTCTAAACAAATTATCTACCATTGAACTACAATCCTAGCTCTTTTATATGTATTGGGAGACAAAGCCTTACTATGTTTGTTGCTCAGACTGGCCTAAAACTTGAGATCCTCTTGCTTCAGCCTCCTGAGCAGCTAGCATCACAGGCATCTGCAACCATGCATTGCTTCAGACACTTTTTAACAAGCATGGTGGGTGAGGGGTTATAGGGAACAAACACTTAAAGGAGAAAAGCCAAGGAAGAAGAAAGGAAGACTGAAGTCTTGTTATTTTGAGAGCTCAGCTGAAGAGAAAGGATGATAGACGTGAAATAAAAATGGAAAAAATGTTAAAAACTTAGTATAGATGGCAACTTTTCCAGTTTTGAGAAACTTAAAATGGCATTATTGCAAGGATAAAAGAAGCATGGTAGTAGATACTGTACAGCCTCTCTACTGGTTTTCCTCTTCCTGCTGGAAGTGCCTCCCAGGAGAATGAAACTAAACTTCATCAATTCAAAGACATGAATGAACTACAGACGGCTACAATTTTTTTTTGTACAGTTTCACCATTAAGAGATCATCCCCTTGAACCTGGGGTGATGTTGTGACTTGCTTTGATTAGAAGAGTCAGAAAAGTGATGTCAGACCTGTTCCAAGACTAGATGCTTTTGCTATTTTTGGAGCCCTGTGCAGCTTGTAAAGAGTTCTAGCTAACCTTCTACAGAGATAGTGTGGATAGAGCGAGATGACTGGCCAGACAAGCCAATGAGCCACTAGATTTCCAGCCTCAGTAAAGGCTTCAGAAGACCAGTTACATAAGGGACCCCAGGCAAGCAGAAGAAAGAGTAAGGTAGACCCAAACAACGCATATCCACCCTCATTTCCTGATCTATGGTTCATGGGCATTAAAATGGTTGTTGCTTTAAAAAAATTTTTATTAGTACATGTTTACAATACATATGGTTTTTTACCCTACACCCCATGGTTGTTGTTTTAAGGCACTAATCAGGATTTGGTAAACTTTCTCTTAAGAAGATAGTAAATATTTCAGTATTTCAATATTTTAATGAGTCCTTTGGTCTCTGTCTCAACTATTCAGTAAAATTCAGTTTTACTGTGCTCAAATGCCACTGTAGTATGTGAACAGCTACTGTAGACAATATGCAAACAAATGCACATGGCTGTGCTCTATTAAAATTTTATTCACAGAAACAGTTGACAGGCTAGATTTTTCCCATGGGCTGAAGTCTGCCAATCTTTGTTCTAAGCTCTGTAATGCTTTCTAGATCATTGGGTCAACTTTCTTAGGGGGATGGCATCAGTGCAGTGCCTCATTGGTATGAGGATGATTGTATGAAGTCCCTCTATTCTTTGTCATACAACAAATACTTAAATTTAAATTTTAATATCATGATTGTGTTGTACTGACAGTAAAAGATTCTCTCACATTTGCACCACAGGAGTGGCAGTTTACAGTCCTTATCATAAACTAATGAGCCTCAGTCTTGGTCTGCCTTTTTTGGGAATTCTGCCTTTTTTAGGAATAAGACTAAGTGTCAGACAATACACGAGGACTATGAAAAAGCCACTCTTTTCTCTGATCATCCAGTTGGTAATCATAACTGAGTTTCAAAGTTGTTATTATAAATGTCAATATGAGGTAGTAAACATAAAACATTTCAACTAACAAATTTTAAAAATCCTTCATGGAAATAAATATGTAAGAAAGCAAAAGGCTCTACCAAGTTCTTTCTAACAATGGAGAAAAGCAGTTCATTAAGACTCTTCATCTTTTAGGAAAACAAATACAATATGTAACAATTTTCTTGCACTGTCAACCTGTCAGCCATATTATGAACGTATTAGTTCTCAGTGTTCTTTAGATTTTTGGTTATTTCAGAAGAGTCCAAATGTTCGAAGGTGGTACCAATAGCAATTTACAAAGTTATACGAAGACTATTTCAAGGCATATTAAAACTTCAAGTTCTTTTTCTATTAACTTTTAAAAACATATGCTACATATACTATAAGGCTTTGTTTTCTGGTAATTATTTTAAAATTCTTAATATATGATAGTAACTATATTATTCTGCCTTATGTGTCTTCTAAAATGAATAACTAGTTTTACAAAAAAAGAGTAATTGTTCAATATTTATTTATTTATTTTTTAAGAAATCACTGTGCTCTTTCTTTGGGAGAGGAGGGGTAAGAGGTCCAAAACTCTAATTTTTGCCTAATTTCTCTTGAATGTTTTGAGTATTGTGTTGAAGAGGAGTCATGATAGTGGACATCTTTCCATTGTTCCTAATTTTAGAGGGAAAGCTTTCAGTTTGTCCTCCAGTAGGTCCCTAGGTTTATCATAAATGGCTTTTATCAGGTTGAGGTAAGATTCTTCTATATCTATTTTCTTCAGGGATTTTAATCATAAATGGATACTGAATTTTGTCAAAGGCTTTTTCTGCATCTATTGAAATTATCATGTGATTTTTGTCTTTGCTTCTATTTATGTGATATATAAACATTTATTGTAATAAACTATTGGTAGTTCCATCTTCCTGCAGAAAGAATGGCCATCATCAAGAAATGAAATAACAAATAATGCTGGCAAGGCTTCAGGGAAAAAGGAACCCTTCTACATTATTGGTAGGAATGCAAACTACTATATGCACTATGAAAATCAGTATGGAGATTCCTCAAAAAACTAAAAACAGAAATTCTGTTTGATGTGGCTTTTCCCCTTCTAGGTATCTTCCCAGAGGAGCTAAAGACATCGTATATAGTGACACATGCATACTAATCTTTATATCAGCACAGTTTTTTTTGTTGTTGTTTCTTTGTTTTGCACAACTTTCATAATAGCTAAATATTGGAAGCAGCTGGCTACATATCCATGAACAGATGAGTGGATGAATAAAATGTTTTATTTACACACAAGAAAGAACTACTCTGCCATAAAGATAAAATTGAATTATCTGTAGGAAAATGGATGTATGTCAGACCATAATGTTCAATGAAATAAACCAGAAACACAAGCTTAAATATTGCATTTTTCTATTTTTATTAATTTTACTGGTACATTTTAGGTATACAATATAATGACATTCATCACTGGAAATTTGAACCTTTACATAATCTCTCTTGGTTCTTATTTTTTCCCCATTCCCCTGTCCTCTCTTCAACCACTC